GGGTACAGCAATTCGATCTCCCAGGCAATACGTCAGTGGTCAAATGTGAGGATCGCGAAAATATCGATAAATCGCTGCTACTTAAAGATGGTTATAAGAACGAGTTGGCTACTAACGCATACGAAAAGGAGAAAATATTGGATGAGCTCTTAAAACGTAAGAATCGTTATGGACGAGAGCTTGGATAGTATCTGGTGCAGTAGAAGCTACATTGCTATCCAATTCAGATTGATGAATCGGATCTGAGCAATCATGCGTTGTTAAAATAGTTCGAGCGCAATTGTGAAAGTTAACAACAATTCCAGTTGATGTAATCTCACGGAGTGGTAGATGAAGGTTTGCGATTAAATAAAGCTACAAGTGGTTGACGTGTAAAAAGAGGTCTGTAAGAGATGGTAGATGGGATTACATACGAGAAGAGGTTATTAGCTGGTGGATGCGTATATGGGTACAAGGATGTTGTAAGAGATGATGAATGTGTATATATACAAGAAGTTTGTACGACATAGTGAACTTAGGCTTATATGTGGAATGTGTGGCGATAGCAAATCGTAAGAGGTCGATCGCGGCTAAAAAGCTGAAAAAATTAAATTGATTTTATTGCCAAGAATAAGATGATAGATCGAGGTATGTTATATTGAGCTGTTATGCTATGGAAATCGAATTCTGCGATTACATAGAGAGAAAATTACTAGGCAACGTACTTTTTTTGGATGGTCTGAGATCGAACACCGCTACTAAATTTACGCCAAGGTTCAGCGGCATACAGCTGCGACAGAGCCGATTAAAATTTTGAATATATATCTATTTTTGAATCTCAGGCCTGGGTACCATGAGGGCACTTCAATTTGAGTTGGGAGATGTATAAGAAAATTCCACAAAATGTCCAATTCTCAATGTCCCGCTATCATACCCTGCAAGATAGTGAGAAAGCTCACTTTTCTCAGGTCCCAGCTTGAGATCTACTTTGTTGTCGATGCTTTATCATTTGAACCAACTTGAGATCCCCGAACTAGTGCCTCCTCTAAAGGAACACTACGTGCGTTGTTTTCATTAAGCTTGTCGGTACTGTACCTTAACTCAAAAAAGGTGGTAAACTGGTCGAACCATTCAGTACGAGGAATTACGATCGGTGTGATCCGGCAAGAAGTATTGTAATCAGGCTCTTGGGCGTATAAGCCCTGAATCTATGATGATGAGTCTAATCAGATACGAAAAGTGGAACCTTGTGCACAGGTAACGTCGAACAGGATATCATTTGGAGCAATATGTGACAAAACAAGAAATTGACGTCCAACTCCGCGACACTCGTTTACATGACTCTGCGCGCGTCTCGAAAAGAATTTAAGCAAAGATCGTTGTACGCAATCTCAATACACAAAGATTCACTGGTAAGGAATCACCATCATAATAGTCAGACTATGGTAATACGCAAGAAGTACACCCCTTTTTAAACGCGCGGGTGCACCAGAAAGGCTGATAGCAACATCCCAGTCTCTGAAAACCTACCTGAAGAGGTGCACAAAGCACATTTTGGTTGCAAACGGGGCTAAAAATACCAGTCGGGGACCACCGATCGTGTAGAGGAATAAATGTGCTTACAGAAATAGGAGATGGGATCGATTTGATTTAAGTTTGTGATGCCCAACCGGACGCAAGACGACCGATCAACATATGTGACAGACATAGCCGCAAACGCCGCATGTGACAGACATAGCCGCAAACGCCGCCTCTTCACCTTCCCATGATCCTTCCTCTTTAGATGAGGTCACAGCTGAACCATGACTTTTCCGATACTCGGTTTACGGGTAGCCGCGGGTCCCCGGGGATCGCGAGAATGCTGAAGATCCTGAAAAACCTATGGAGCGAGAGTGCTTCGGATGGAGAAAGTGTATGGCATCGTGAGCTTTAAAGGTCTTGGTACGAGACATCGTAGGCCAACCTTGTTTCTTGGGAAAGGGCAAGGAGGAGAATTGCGGAGGATCGCGTATTCGTTAACGGCGAAGCCATAAGGTGTCCGACGCCATTTTGAGGTTTGCACACACGGGGATTCGGGTAGACTATATCAACGTCGCATGCGTAGCGAAAGTAGCCCCAGGCTTTTAAGACGCCATTCAATTCTGAGAGTCGTGTGATCTTTAATGGAGCAATCAGATAGCGTCATCAATGAACTACGACTCTCCGGAATTATTAATTCAACATATGAACACGAATTCTAATGAGCACGATCGGACACAGTGCGATGTATCTGATCGCACTCATCGAAATTGGCGGGTAAATTTACATGCGCCTGGTCCAATCGACCTAAAGTCCTCTTCCCTCCTAAAGGCACGACGTGGCCTCCCTTCTATTTAGATATTGGACTTCTTATACTTAGTTTCTTGTCTATGAATCTGCAAGATTATAATATAGCTTATAGAATTTTGCACCAGTCGATGCTCCACGTAGTCCATCTGTTTAACTTTTGGCAATCTCACGATTGGATTACCTTGCGCAGCGTGACTTGCTCGTATGACCCCAGGAAATTTCTTTATTTAGTGCATGATCAAGGCGGTCGGTCAAGTCAGTCGGCCAACTTCTCTCGAGAAGAACTGGGATGCTTGAGCCTCTTTTTGTTTTAAAAGCGCTAGCGATTATATCTTTTGGACGTATACAGCTAACGAAGATATCAATTTGCAGCGTTTACGTAGTTTTTTTTAATGTTGCTTTGAATAACTAATTGCGCCAATGCAGCATCTTTGCTTCGGTATGGTCCAAAATCTCCTGTTAAAGATCTGGACGGAAATTTAAAGATTCGTTAGCTGCGTCCATGGACTGCGATCCACCGCACGCGGCTATTCGAAGCGAGTGCTTGAGGTCATGATGGAATCACTCAGATTCGAAGCAAGTACGCCGTCGTCAACCGTGACCTTTTCCGGAGTAAAGGTCGAAGACGATTCTTTAGAGGGGGTTGATGTGGACATATTACCGATGCTCCCTACCAAGTGGATCAAAGTCGCGACAGCTTGGTGATCAAACTAGTACCATGACTGACCGGAGGTGTCATTAATAGCATGACTGCAAGCCGTCAAATTATTAGCATAAAAAGCTGGGATCGAGGAAGGCGATCCGAAATTTCTCTGACCCGAGTTGTGAGGTGGCATTACAAACAGTGACGTTATTAGCTCTACAACAACGAAAGTCATGTTGTGTTATGCCGGTAAAATCACAAAGGTTGAGCAGTCAGATCAACACTGTATATCGAGTAACGGTGCATAGGACTGTTGTGGCAAAGCGGTCGCAAGGTACTTTTTGGTTGAGATTAGTTAAGTACTCACAAATTGCACGCTTCGTTTGAGGTTAAAGGGCTCTAGTTTTGCAAATATGAGCTGGGTTGGGTGGTTCGCTATAGCTCACCCAAACCTCTAGCGATCAGTATGGCCACTACGTCAGAAAAGGCCAAATGGAGGTGAACCCTGTTTGTGTTATTTGTAAGGTGTTCCTCATATGCACTTGTGCAATCGACATAGGAAGTACAAGTGAAATATATTGAGTGTTAAGATATTCCTCAACATTACGATATGTATGACCAGATACGGAAAGCGCAACTTGACCATGTAAAGTCACAAATGGTGTCCGTCTCTCCTTGTCCCATGTGACATCCTGTCACATGACGTCCGTCTCTCGCATACCCATGTGTCAACCTGTCACATGGCGACCGTCTCTCCTCGTCCTGTCGTGGACCGCATGGCACATTGTGTGGCAATCAGCACAACGTGACATGCGGGACCACGACAGGGGCAATCAGCCAACTAGGTGACACCGTCCCACGGTAAAGCACTTGAACCTGGAAACCTGTCAAACACGATAGTTTCTAAAACTCCTCCTCGGCGTTATCCTGTGTGGCTTTCAACTGAAGCATGGTCCTTTAACTCCTTTGTTTTTGGCGCCGGCAACAATTTCTTCAGTATGTTGGCAATTATGTCCTCCGATCGTGCAAACTGAGAAACCACAATTCCTTCCTGTGTGTTATGGCAAATGAGCTTGAAACGTATATCTTCGTGCTTGGCGCTCGAGGTGATCTAAAATTAAGCGGCGATCACACAGCTCGAGAAGCAGTGTGATCGCCGCTTGATTATAGATCCACATCGGCGTGGGCTCACGCACTTAAAGCTCTAACTCTCTTAGCAGTTTCTTCGTGCCAAGTAGCTCTTGGCCATCTTGCGAGGCAGAGATAAACTCGGCTTCCATCGTGCTCAACGATACACCCGATTGCACAACCGCAGAACCGCAGAATCATGCACATTCAGTACAAATTCTAAGATTGTTTTACGATCGGCCTTGTTCGCAGCGGAATCGGCATCGCTTCAGTATTCGATCCGAATATCCTCTGACGCAGGTTCTTCCCGCCCAGATGCAGCTTTAAATCCTTGGAAATCTTAGGTATCGTAAGATGCGCTACGCGGTCTTCCAATCTTAGAGAGTCGGCTTGTTCGTTCTTCTTGTCGCCTTTTGCACTGCAAAACACATTTCTGGACGCGTGCATCTCGCGATCCAAGCAGGCTTCCACACAGTGACTTAAAATACTTCATACTCGGGTTGCCCTTTGCTCCTCGTGCTGGTAAGTACTCAGTGTCGTCTTCGGCATACATGTTGCACTCGTCTCCGATAGGTGTGTGAACGCCATTGGACAACTCCATACCAAAGTCTCTCAACAGCAAGTCTACTGTCGCTTCTTCGTCCAGAACATAGTCACTTGAAGCGTCAAGTTCGATCCGTAGCCCAAGGAACTTGTTCACAATTACTAGATTATTTATGGATAGTGAGGCCATATCTTTTAATTATTCTTCCACAGCGCTTTGTTCAGTGCCTGTGACCAACAGTTCGTCCACGTAGACACCGGCCACCGTGCATATTTTGCCCTTTTAATTATAGTTTAGGCACAGGTCCGTAGTACATAACTGACACCCACTTTCTCGTAGCTTGGAGTCGAATTATTTGCCCCATAGCCGCCCAGCCTGTTAAATTCCGTTCAGCGAATTCTTCAACAACAACGCTAGGTCGTTTGGAATCTTCGTGTTCAGGTCTTTCATACTTTTCTTCTTCACTACCATCCCCTTCGACGCCTTCATGTAAATATCCAGGTGCTCCTCCTTTTCAGCCTTGACGAACGCATTGGGTACATCACCATGGCGCGCTGGAACGTTCCAGCGTCTTGAAAGCACCAGGATCAGCTTTACCGTGCTTAAGTCCATGACCGCGGCGAATGTGAGAGTATAGTCTATTCTGAACACTTGTTCGTTCCTGCAAACGACCAGGCGAGCCTTGTACCGCTCGATGTCCCCCTTCGCGTCGGACTTAGTCTTGTAGACACACTTGTTGTGCAGTACGTGTGCACCCTTAGGCGGCTCTACAACCGTCCGAACATCGTTTGACTTCAAGGTATCCAGCTCTTCGGTTATAGCGACCTGCCACTGTTCCCGGTGGACAATGTTGATGGCTTCCTTATAGTGATGCGGGTCTTGCAACATGATTGCATTTTGATACATCGTGCCGCTTAACATTTCCCTCGAGTAGTGCCTCTCCAACTTCTTGCTTGCTCTTGGACCTTGTACGATGTTGAATCCTCGTCACCCGACCGTCGTCATTTACGTCTTTCATGGGTCGTTTATTGACACCCCTTGTTGTGGTGTAGTATCCGAATGGCAGCCCCGGCGTGACTCCTCCTGACTGTCAAATCTGTCCAGATCGGGTCCGAGCTCCGCGTCCCAAAAATTCTTTAGTGCCCCGATGTTTTGGACGTGTTGCATCACCACAACCACCTTTTCTTGGGGATATACACCTTGTATCCCTTCGCCTCAGCGCCCTTGCCAAGGATGATTCCTGCCTTGCCTCGTTCTAGGAGCGATTTGTTCTTGGCATCGACGTGCACCGTGCATGTCGATCCAAAGGCGACGATGTCGTTGAGCATAGGCAACTTGTTTGTAATGATCTCCTTGGAGAAGCTCCTCGTAGGTTCGCCTTGGTCCCACTATGGATCAGTATGTATGACGCATACTCGGCAGCATCACCCCAAAATGCCTTAGGTAATCCTGTAGCGAACAGCATGCTTCGAACCATATTCATGATGGTTCGATGCATCCGCTCAGCCTTGCCATGACCGGCTTTGTTTCGAGCCTCGCGCACTTAACGGAATACATCAGTGGTCAAGCCAAATCCGTCCAAGGTCTTGTATTTACAAACACCCATCCGTGCGCAGCACTGGACTTTTTAGTTGAAATCGCGCTTAAAGCACACCAAAAAGTGCTTGAACTGGAGGGCAGCAGCATCTTTGGACTTAGCCAAAAAAATGCGGCAACGATTCGATCGGTGGTCAATGAAGTTGACCAGATAGCGATTTACCAAACGATCACGTGGTTTCATCGGACCCTTAAGGCCGATGCATATTACTTCTCCTATCACATCGATAGGAGACTTGACCCCCGTATCTTTCCTTGACTGTGATTTTTGCTCTATTTTTAAGCGCTAGCCAGGCACTTCACACGTTTTGAGTCCGTCAGCCTTATGTCCGAGCCCGGGTCCTTGGTCATCTTGACGATAGTGTCAAAACTTAGGGGCCCAGCCGGCGATGTAATTGCATCAAGGTACCACACTGACCATCCGATTCGTATATTAAATTCAGGCAAAATTAGCCATTACCCACTCTCGCAATGAGCCTACTGTGCCCCTCTTGTGGTTTTTCACTGCAACGACCTCTACATTGTTGGACCGCTCCACATCCATGACTGGGACACCACCAATTCCCGAGGTCAAAACAAGGATCCCTCCCCGTTACTCTTGTACGTAACCCTTAGCTACGAACTTTCCATACTCGAGGATGTTCCTCTCGGGGTTTTCGGCGTACTGAACATCGAGGAGCCTCATCGAGCACCACCCCGGGGGCAAGGACTTGAACATCAAAAGTCCCTTCGGTGGCTGATTCGCAGCACACTTCCATCGGAGGCTGCGGTCAGACATTCTCTTTTGGAAGGAGTCGAATCGGTGAGCAGAATAAGGTCATTAATCAAATGACGCCTAGATCCAGTGTCGAGTATCCACTGAATCCCGTTGATACCCGTGCTGTCGTTGACCGCGAAGACGAAGTTTGCTCTCGAGTTCTTCTTCTGTTTATGCTGAGAACACATCACCCTGATGTGCCCTACTTCTCCGCACGAGTAACAATCTCGACTGTCACTTTTCTCCTGGCTCTTAGGTGTTAACTTGGCCTTCATATCCTTCGGAGCTCTCAAAATGTTGACGACGTCCCGTCCGAGGTCCTTGACATGTGTGCCCACCTTAGTAGACTGCGCAAATTGTGCCAATTCTTTCGCTTGGCTAAGGTGGTCCGATCGATGAAAGTTCAACCTGGACAACATTGCTGTGCGCATTTGCGAATTGGCATAGTAGACAAACTTTTCCAGCACCAAGCTGTCTGCACCGCCGCAGGCATCGCTGACAGCTGTTAGGTACAAAAAGTGGTCTGTCCAGCTGCTGTGCGATGCCTTTGGTGCCGTACGAGCTCCATGCTTTGCGCCGGAGGTATCTTGGTGCTATAATTCTGCGACATCCTCTGCACAGCATGCTCCTAGGCTTGGTTTTCGCGCCACCAAGCCTCTATCTGCCGACGGTAAAAAGTCTGCGCCTTGCCCGCCAGATGTTGTCTAAGGACATCAACATTGATGTCCTCCAGTCGTCTGAACATTCACGCACACTCCGCGAAACCAATCTGACGGACAGATTCCTTGCCCCAATAAATTTATTCACTACCTAGACAATGGTAGAGCTCTTTGCCGTCCAAATTTTGGATCGCGAGTTTCCGATGGCATGCGTCCGGCATAACCACACCGAGGTAATAGCTTGCAGGCATCTCTTTCCTAGAGTGTGCAGGTCCAGATGCCGCACCCATGTTAAGGTCCGCCACAACCGGTTTCACTGGCCGTCCATCACTACAATCATGAAGGTGATGCTTTGTCCAGAAGTACGTCGCTGGCGACACACACGGGGATCTTTTGGGAGGAGGGGTGAGCTCCAAGGATTGAAGGGTCATCCCCTTTCCTAATCCCAGGGCCGAGCCAATAAATGACTCCAGTAACCCCTGCCGGTCCTTGCCACCTTGCTCCTTCTGATCAACCTCCATCCAATTCATCCATTCGATAGGTCTCCGAGCATGGCTAGCACTTGGTCCATCGCCCCTATAGCGCTGCCGCCTTTTTTTTAAGTGGCCGTCGGTAGCCTTGTTAGAACCACCGACCACCACAGCAGGTGCAGCTTGATCGGCCGCACCACCAACACGCTTTTATGGGCTCATAACCTGTTACTCGTACGGAGTTCCTCATATGCACTTGTGCAATCGACATAGGAAGTACAAGTGAAATCTATTGAGTGTTAAGAACTCCCTCAACACTACGATATGTATGACCAGATACGGAAAGCGCAACTTGACCATGTAAAGTCACAAATGGTGTCCGTCTCTCCTTGTCCCATGTGACATCCTGTCACATGACGTCCGTCTCTCGCATACCCATGTGTCAACCTGTCACATGGCGACCGTCTCTTCTCGTCCTGTCGTGGTCCCGCATGTCACGTTGTGTGGTAATCAGCCAATCAGGTGACACCGTCCCACGGTTAAGCACTTGGACCTAGAAACCTGTCAAACATGATGTTTTTGTAACAGTTTTATTGCGTGTTACGTCATGAGATATAGCATGACTGAACTCACAATTCGGACCTGAGATCTCGATATCCAACTTACGATTGCGATCCCGACCTAGAAATACGATATTCTTTTTGCGATTTCTATCCCGACCTAAAATCACCACCCTTACTCGATCAAGAATGATTCAGTTGTCGTGACATTCGAGGTAGACCACATGAAGACACTACTGCTGAAACACCTGGTGGGGACCACATAAATACGAAGGGATGATCTCCTTTTAAAAGGAGAACCGTCCCATTTGTAAAGGTTATACTGATCGGCAAAGTGATACATTTTAAGGTATAATCGGGCGACATTAGACAAAATTCATGTTACTTCAAAAGACACACGTTATTGCCTTCGGACAGGGTCTTTGGCCCCGCGACTAATAAAGAGCCACGCTTCACGTCTACGCACGTGTCGCACCTGGATTGATTGGCCAGGTGCATTGAAGCATTCTCAAGATACCAAATTAAGTGCGACCGGACGCAGCAAACACAACAAGGGCAAGGGGCGAAAAATCGCAAGACGGCTCAAGTGGTCAGAAGGCTCGCAGGTAAAGCATCACCGTAGGCAAAGACAATCTGCACCAGATCAGGGTAGCTCATACAGAGAACCACTCAAAACATACGCGATCGTGCTAAATTTCCACACAACAGACACCATTCTCAATCACGGTAAACTTCGGCATCGACTCGAGTCCACCTGGAAAATTGCACCCCGCCCTAACGACGATGCACAAAACTGAGTAAAAAAACATGTAATAGAATGTTTTTCGTCAGTCGGTCTTCTGGGCTTTAGTGGAGACCTCGAGTCGCAAAATCTTGTGATCACCACTATAACGCAATGGCCTCCGTCTACGCAACAGCTTGCACGCTCTGCAGACTTGACCTGACTAACAAATTTTTATCCCCACACAGGAAACCACTAGCAAATGCATTGTAAAGTTCTTTGTCGTCAAATGGTTGTAACGTGAGCGTTCGATGCTGCGCGTCTGGCATGCCCGCAATCGGCAGTCCAGGATGTACATATATTCAATATAAAATACTTGCCAGGATAGTAATCCACAGCCACTTTAAGATGGTGCTACACAGGTCCAGGTTCCTGTATTATGTTAAAGTCTACTACAACAGGACCTGGCGCTCTTTCACCTATATATACTTGGTGGTTATGCTGTGCTTCGAAGTACGTCGTGGCGACATCTTCAAGTGCTTAGTGAAAGTAGAATTGTGCTTACAAGAATGAAGACTCATTTCCGCTCCTAATCCCAGGACCGCACAAAATATTGACTTCGGTGACCCCTTCTCGCTCTTGCCACTTACTTATTGTTGGAGATCCTTATACGATTTTCCCCTCTTGAATAGGACCCCGAGCATGGCCAGCACCTTGTCCGTAGCCGCCACGACCGCTGCTGACTTCCAATACAAGTAGTTGTTGGTGGCCTTGTTAGCACCGTAAGTCACCACGACGGGTCGAGATTGAGCAGCTGACCCACGATCGCAATTCGTTAGGCTCATAATCTATTGATTTGTGATGAGTTTGAACTAAACTTGTAGATATGTAGATAGAAGTAACAGTATAGCATATTTAACATCAACTGTTCTTTTTTGCTACGACATGCACCTGAACTGCACTGCAACATAAACATGTACTACTTTGATGCCAATCTTCCTTTCTTCCTATCTCATTTGATGGTTTCATGTCGCAACCGCATTTCTGTGACATGTGTTAATCCGTCACCCTGTTTCCCTGTCCCATCCGCCCGATATCTCATTGTGGCATTACATGTACCTTGGTCTGACCACTGGACAATCAGTTGAGACGGTCACATTGATGATATCGCTTGAGCCTTGTAACCTATCAAAACACGATAATGTCGAAAGCTTGGTGTGCTAATCATTTAAGTACTGCTACTGTAGATCGGCATGTGTAAAAGATACTTGTTAATATCATTGGACATGCCGTACTTAAAATGACATGCAAGATACGTCTAGCCTTTCTCATGGACACAAGATGACACTTACCCATCGCACTTGGTGCGATGGGTAAGTCACCTGGTATTATTCACATACACAGGAGGTGACAGGCACGTACATAGACAAATAAGTACAATACAAACATTTCGGTATTCACTTTTAACACAATGACTTACAGCTTTACTCTTCGGGACTGCTACTATTTCCAGTTTGTTGCAGTTGTGATGCACTGATGCAGCATACGCTGTTTTATAGATTCAAGGAGAGTATTTGTACTTACCGCAATCGAAAAAAAGCAAATTGAGCAGCTCTTTATGCTGCTTAAAAATCGTAGACTTGTACTTCAAAGCAAAAGAGTCGGAACGATATTTGAGGTGATGAAGAAATAGGATGTACGGTCTGAAAGAATCACAGGACGCCGTTTGCGACCAGACAAGATTTTCCGGCTTTGCGGTGGCACAGCAAAATTGGTAAATTGCGACAACTCCATAGTAATTTGCATTGGTCGAGGTAATGGAATTATCGGATCAGTCTGCGCCTTGATTTTTGATCCTGGTATGTTAACACCGTCAATGAAAAAAGAATGTGCTAGTTAAATTTATCGTCACAAGATGGCTTATTTGCGGTACTACGCAAAGAGCATCAAGCTAGGTGTGACGTGATAGCCTTTCACTTCGAAATTGTCTGAGAAAACTGTTAATATGCTATTATAACGGCACTTAGGTCTTCAATACAAGTCAGGTAGGTACAGTAACCATAATTTTTTCTGAGTAAGGTTCTAAAATGAAACAGCGACTTGCACGTTACTTCTTATCTAGTTTTATTTCTAAAAAGAGGTGTCATCACATCCATTTAAATTATCTATGACTAAGCTGGTGGCCTATTTTCAAGTGCTTATTATCATTTGAGAAATTGTTTGTTACGTCATTAGTTGACAGTTGCAAGGCATCAGGGTGTTCCCTAGTAAGTAATAGCCTATATTGACGATTCTTTGACCATGTTACTGTTCTACTAGTGATCGATTATACCTGTTCTGGAGCTATATAGATACCCTTTGTCGAAGAGTATTCGAAATCAGGTATATCCGCTGCTTTAATTTAAATGTATTCTTGGGTGTATATCACAATTTTTGCTAGTTCATACTACCACGATAATAAAGTCATTCAAGTAGTGAGTGAAATTATTGTTCATGAGCTGATTATACATAAGACGACCTTGCTCTTATGTTCATTGTACCTCACGGGGTGCCTGTCGTTGACGGTATTGTGCAAGAATGGAACTAATATCCCTTGTAGCATGTACGTTATGTGTTCCTAGGCGTGGATGAGCACATTACGAAGGCCATGATATTTCGCCGCATATTAGTAGTTGTTGTAGAGTAAGAGACTTTCATCCTTTATACTTTCTTAAACACAATCGGTCTGTCCAGCTCGCATAATATGGATCCCGCTCGTCCAGGTCCATGTTTTTGCGAGACCAATGTAAAATAAAGTTCGTTGTGTGGGGAAAATGATCAATTGCATTTAGTTGAGTGAGAGCGTTCAATCCCGGTGATATCTCTTGAAGCCGAATCCTGTCCTCACTTTGTTGGCATCTATGGTCACAGGAGGTGCAGTAAAAAATCTGACAACGAGTTTATATAACGATAAAACTCGTTGCCAAAAAATAGATATAACAGGCAAAGCATGAAATGCCATTCATTCCTGGTCGCGGAGCGCTTGAATCATCGAACTCTTCGCTCATCTAATTTTTTTGCGATGTGCTGTCGGTAAAAATTTATTTTTAGTTTGCGCAATTATTTACTTGACCACCATGTGTGCATTGAATAAACGTGGCAGTGGCAAAACTAAATATTGGCATGATCTCTGGAAAGTCAAAGGTCGATGCGATGGTGCTGCAAATGATGAGAAGGAAACTGGTCATTCTTCATGTAATGACGTAAATTTAGATTCACTACACACTAGCATGAGATCTTAATGGATATCACGTACTAACCTTCTTGACGCGCACGCATGTATATCGCTTCATGGACCTAATAGTAAGTTCTGGAATCGGCTAATTGGAAGGCTTCAAAATAAGATAATGACGTTTGCCGGAATACATACGATGCGCGAGTAGCTGCCAATAAAGACCATGTGCGTTTAGATCATTTTAAAATATCCAGACTAATGCTCCGAGCATTGGCTTCCATCTACTGCAATTATAATAATAACGCACCGAAGAAATAGCTGGGGCAAATAAGGCAAATGTCAAAAGCGAGGCCGAAGAGTTTTACCATATCTGATAGATATTTTCCCATCTTGAACGAGATATGTATATGTTAGTCCGTTGATGCAGAAAATACATTCATACCGCTAAAACATCCTGAAGGAGACGCTTTAGGGGACTTTGTTGCAACAGGTAGAAAAATCGACACTGTGTTTGGCATCTTGCACTCAGTGACAAAGGAGATAGCAATAAAGTTTTCTTCATGCCTAAGCAAATAATTATTTTCTATCTGTCAGAAGGCAGGCGTACTGAAAAGAGGAATTTTAAATGCAAGAGCGTGGAGGGTCTAAAATTGTAACGAAGGCTCCCTGCATGAATCTCAAGCTTGATTACGAATACCAGGTCATAAAGCACAGGATTTATTCAAAGACGGTTGTTCATTAACACGAGTTAGATCGCTCGTACGATGTAGTCGTACTAGAAACCAAAATCTAGAGTCTGTGACCCTCCTAAAAAATTCACAGCACATAGGACCCCTTCGGCGCACATGGACGCTCAGCGCATCATGTTCTCTCCTTCCCTTGCTGGTGCCTCACTAAGGTCCAATCTCGCTCTAGGCATGTGGGGGTTTAAAATTCTTGCGCATGTAGGCGCCCAAAAGCTGAAAACCCAGTTTTGCTGCATCTCTGTCTGCATTTTTGGTAGTCGCTTCGATCATCAATATTTGATCCTTCGGATCAAGCTTGTCAAAAATGAACTCGACCGGACGAAGGGCGTTCTTAGGGGGAAGGCCCAAGTTGGCTTTGTGAATGAATCCAACCATCTGGTTGTATTCCGGGCTATCAAAGAAAGCACCAGGGGGTTTCCCATCATGTTGCCTTTGAGCCATCAGTGACTCAAGCTTCTTGGTCAGTTGTTGCTCAACCTTTGCCTTCTTCGCAGCGATATTGGCAAGTCCCTTGGCTTTCCCCGTAGCACCTTGAGCCTCCCACATTGATCTGGTAGTCTTTGATGCTGGAAACATTCTCCTTATAACGTTCTTAAGTGTCTTCGACAATGATGACATATCTCTTTCTTCACCATTACCAGTAGCAGCAGTGCCAGACTGATAAGAATCATCATCAGGGACATCCTTCCCTGCATGGAGGAGCGTATAAGCTTGGATTGACTTTACTTTTGACGCAAAGACGATGACACCAGGCAGCAGCAGTGCGTGGAGGAGACGCATTGCTCCACAGACGAACTGAACCTATGGTTTAAGGGAGAATTTAAGGACAAAACTAAACGTATCCGATTGATAGTGGATCAATGTACCGGTGAGCTTTTTGGCCAATCAGGGTATCATATACAAACTAAAATTGCTAATTCAAAGTATAACAACATATACATACCAAATGAATAAAACTACTTAGAATATATAGAACAAGATGGCGAAAATAAAATATAGTGAGGTATATACTATACTCATGGCATGCAGTGTTCAAAACACCAATGTTTTACTTAGGTTATACATTTGTCGTATATTTATACTATATATCAGCACATGTTAGAAAGACAGTCCTCGCATTGCTCTGTTGATACTAATTAGGCAACACCGCGTGCGGGCACAAATTGGCAGTTGATACGCATGCTATCTGTTTCCCGAAAGTTCGCTGTGCATGTGAATCGCGAAATATTCGGCAGTCTAGGGGTAGACACAAATGTGATTTTCGCGGCGCACAAGAATCACCTAGGCGATTGCAACTATGAGGCGCCATCCTGCTACCACTCTATTCGCTGCGTACTCGGGCCCACATTAAAGAGCACAAGTCAGAAGGAGTTGCCTGCGTCCGTATGAGTTAGATTATAGAGTTCGGACATGCATGCTGTGCATAAAGTGCTGCCATGCAAATCATCCATTACATGCAGATGTCTATGTCTACAGCCAATTCCATGACTATAACCTGTCCGAAACATGCATGATCTGGACTTCGTGGGGAGTCGTGTTGTCCGTGATAAATTCTGTTTGGTCGAATATTCTAGATCAACCATACATACGCCACCGTACGGTGGTCTGAGGCCACGATCTTGACAAGACTGATGTGTAAACAATTTATTGACCAGGTCAAATTAGCCTATTTATACTTTATCGTGTGACATGCGCGACATTCAGTGTCAGATTTTAACATTTGTGTGGATGCTTGATTTCGTGTGACTGCTGAGGCTTAAATTGAGGATACAGGAACGGCCAAATGAAGTTCAGAACCCCAATCATGGAGCAAATGATCTAATGGAGGGTCTGGAAGCGTTAAGGTTTCGATCGCTTTATAATACGACGAAACGTCCGACTTTAGCTTCATGAGTTGCTACGATTGACGCCGAAGCGACGGAAGGCTCAACATTATAAGTTGCACCACCTAAGATGAAGGCTGGGAGGCGCATCATGGTGAAGAAGTTCAGCAATAAGGAAGAAAAGAACAAAGTCGAGGGCTTTCTTTGTAACATTTGCCGCCATATAAGACAAATGGTAGTCTAATAGAACATGCGCGTTTTGAACATTGCGCCTGGGTTTATTTAAAGCTTCCCGAGTTGCATGAAAACCTTTGGTACATATCGGGGCTCCAAGCCGACGGTGGATTATCCGTATGATGTCGAATGATGAATAAGTACACGAATGAAATAATCTCAATGATTGCTACGAAAAGGTGCCCATCACTAGCTTTTACCCCAAGGATATGTCATGCGGGGCTGGACCTCCAGACGAATATCAACATGGAACTTTCGTCTCCTAGCGTCGTGTTGGATGCCGACGCGTGAAGCACCTGCTTACGCGATGCTTTGGCCATATTTTGTTTGCTGGCACGAGGTTTTAGCATGCGTACAGCGCTGAAAGTTTTCGGTTGGTAAACCTCCTTACCAGCTATTTGTGAGTGGAGTCTAGTGCCTAGTCAGTTTCTTTGGTTACTAATAAAGGTCGCTCATCAATATGTATGCCTACATCTAATTGATACCATATTATGTACTATATGAATTAATCAGTCAGTGCTCTGTGTGACTCAAAGGGAGCTTGTTTGATGTGTCAAAGCACAGTTTTTCGATGAGTTGAATACCATTCTCGGCTCGGTTGTCTTTGACGTTGGTGTTCATTTTCACGATATTGTTCGAGGATTCATCTGTATGATCCGTTCCTCGCACGTCTTGATGTAATTGTACAACGCTTTGTCGCTATTCAATGATTCAATTGATACAGCATCATAAGAACCAGAATACATAGGGAAGAGAATCAATAGGCTAAGGGCAACGTTGTTTCTCCGCATGTACATTGATAATGACCTGTCAATATATCCTAAAAAGCAGTCCTTGGTTGGTAAAGCCACGAAATCGAATTCATTGTTGCGAGCCGGAAGGGTGAAGCCATATAAATGACATTACGCTGCAGACACGACACCCAACGCTAGGCAGTGTTGCAACAGGTGCCTATCAGGAACGACGTCGGTGTTATCCTGAAGTAGTTTAGAGCGTCTACAGCAGTCAGTATAACTTAGCTTTCGGTCCAATCAAAAAGCGTTATTGAGTTTTACTCATAAAAGTGCGCCACAGCAGCGAAATAACTCGGGGATGACTCGAGAAAAAGTTACTGTGCGCGAGGTAGACGCCAGATTTTTATAATCGTACATATCTGTATTTGATTCGTGTCGGTATTGAATGCTATGATACTTACACGTCGTGCTATACGTGATGTAGCCTGTCCCCTCCTCAAGGTCAATAGGCATTCTAGGTGTCACTCTATAGGTTGGTCACTCAGTGCGATCGTGTAGAAAGTGTAAGTTGCCCGGGCACCAATGGCCGCACGTGATTGGCTTAAGAGCGATAAAGGGCGAACAGAGGGCTAACTCGCAAATGCTCGACACTTAGTGGTAGCGACAGTCTGGCACCTTCGGCAAACATTATATGTGATGTAGTTATAATCCATTGTAATTGCACAACTGAAAAAAGTACGAAGTAATGGTGACCATTCTCTCCAAATGGCAGAGGAAATTCCCTTAATCAAATTCCCTTTTTTGTCAACCAATTTTATGTCGTCCGCTGCATTTTTTAGCTGTTGGCATTAACGGACAGGAGAATTTTTCGCCTCCCGTTCCGTATATATTTATCGCTTTAAAACATGAGCAATGACGACGAGCAGCTTCATCACAACAATAACTCGACACGTTTATTTTCTGATAAACAACGCACAACCTATTCCTTAGTTGCCATCCTTCCGGAGTAGATGCGCGAATACACAGAGCCTCATTAAGTTTATGGACCAATTTTGATTATTGCAAGCCCGAAGGGTGAAGCTATTAGTGACTGTGCGCAAGGTTGAATGCCGAACCTATAAATCGTACTTATCTGTCCGTCTGTGAATAAGGCGGCTAGGTGTGCCTTATATGTATCTAACGCGATTTTGCCTGTCCCCCCCATAAGTCGATCAGCATGATATGTGCCACTCTTTGGCTAAGTCACTATTGCGGCCCACGATCGCTATTGGCTTAAAATCGAGCAAAGGTGAATATGATCACATTAGCAAATGCTGGACGCTTATGAGCAAATGCTGGGTGCTTTAAAGTAAAGGTGATCGCCTTACCAGAATATTCTGTACTAGGTAAATACAGACTTAAAGGCATTAACTCCTTCTGCAGTGACTGCTGCTATTGTACAGTGTTTTGCAACTTCATTGCCTTCTCTAAACTGAATACAACTGCGATTTCTAAGTGATTGTAGTAGCAACATGAACTGTTTCGAACAACATCGTACCCGATCAATCAGAAAAAGTCACCAAATCTCAGGCAACAGCCGTGCGCGTGTCTTTCTGACACTTCAGACTTTCTTACTTCAGCAACGACAAAAAATTGCCTCACTAGACACGTGTCTTTCTGACACTTCACGCTTTCTTACTTCAGAAACGACAAAAATCGCCTCACAATTTACCGCCACGCTTCTCGTCAATTTCAAGTTACGCCCTTTACTGCGATTATTGCGCCAGCAAAATGTCCTCCTGGGCGGCTCTCAACGCCCGACCTTCGAGCGACGCCCGCGACCAGAGCGCAGCGCTCGAGCAGGCGACAGACGAGGCGCAAGATGCGGAACACACGGCGATGTACGAGCAAGCGCTGCGTTGCCAGCAGCGGCACGAGCACGCTGCAGCCAAGACGTTGTACTTGGCGTTACTTCACAGCGCCTTCCGCACCCCTACCCGCTTGGTTTATCTGTGCTATAAAAACCTCGTGAGTCTGGATTTCGAGGTGCAATCATTCGAAGACGCTCTGTTATCGTATAGTCAAGCGGTATCGCTGGACGCAACGGACGTGGTGGTGTGGTACCAAATGGCTACATCTGCCGTGGAAACAGGAAAGCTGTGGCTAGCCCGGAGGGCTCTGGAAGAAGGGTTCAAGGTAGATGCAACGTATTGGCCGCTTGTGGAGACGCTGGCGCTGGTGCTGCACGTGCTGAAGGACGAAGGCGCGTACGAGTGCGTGGCGCAGTATCTTCGCGAGCGGGACCCGCAGTGCGCTTTGGTGCAAGTGATTGACGCCATGCGGCGGTCAGATGCCGCGCTGGAGACGGAGCTGGAGATGGAGAGGTTACGTGGTGACAAGTTGGTGCTGAGACGAGCACAAAAGAGGCTGCGACATGTGGAGACGATTGTCGAAAGAGGGACGAAACGACGGCGAGAGCTTGAGAGAGAGCGTGCAGACAAGAGGAGGAAGCAGGTGAGAAGAAGGAGGACGTATACGCTGTTGCAGGCGTCGTGGACGAGACTAGGTGAGCTGCTGCTGGAAGCTTTTGACGAGATTCATCGAGACGTTGAGGCACATGTGTTGCAGACAGAAGTGGAGATCCGAGTTGGGTTTTGTGATGAAGAGATCGAGGATTGTGCAGCTGAAGAGGCTGAGAAGGAGGTGGATAGGGATGGCGACTTGCCGCTGTCGAATGGCGTACAGTTGAAAGAGCCGGTAGAAGTCACTGCTGCTGCTGGTTGTGACACACCAATGTTGACGGAGATCTCGGACAATGATACTCAGGACAGCGGTAAATATGCGAGTGAGGTGATGGTGGATCAGCCTAAGCGACGAAAGTCACGTCGGCGCGAGAATCAGCTGTGGCAAGAGCAAGCTGCTGCAATGAAGAAAGCTCGTGAACAAGCTTTGGCGTATCGCCTGCAAGCTTTCTTGCCCACTAATGTCGGAGACGAAGAGAAGAATGCGACGCAGGAATCGGTCTTGAGTAAGTGGCTTCCTTCGCTTACTGTCGAAAATGTCAACGGCAAATTTTGCATTTTAAATGCGAGGAAGGAAGTTTTTACAGAACTGGCGTCGTTCGCGATATCGACAGAAGAGCCTGCGAGTGATTCTGATATATCGTGTTCACGGATGTGTTCTCGTGAACAGGCAGCACACGAGGTGGCGCTTCAACCAGAAATGGTGACAGCGAGACAAATTGTATCGTTTGTCACTGGAAGTGCTGGTGGGACTACGCGTTCGGGTGTGATAATTGACTGGATGCGACGGTATCTCAATCAGTGCAGCCAATGGTCGCTATTGCACCCTGATGATGACGATGGAAAGATCCACAAAGTTTGCGCCTGGCTCGAAAAAGCGATAAATGGAGACTTGGATATCTTAAAATTAGAAACGAGAACGCAGCCCACTGTCATAAATGTTGCGGATCACTCGCTTATTCAAAACAGCCGCTTTGAGAGGAATGGATTGTCGCCTAACACTCGTCTTTTTCTGCTGGAGCTTCGTTTTGATACGCTTTTGCCGCGATCTCTCCGAGGTAGAAAGATGTGTGGAATGGAGAAACTGCTGGAGGTCCAGTTAGCTGAAGCGGAAACGCTTATGTTTGAGTTTGGCTGGCTTGAAAACGCAGAAAATGTAATTTGTGACCCGAACGGGAGTGAACTTTTGCGACTGCTTCGGCTTATCGCACAAATGCACGAGCGATGCAGAAACCCTCGAATGGCTCAGCACTACTTTGCCAAATACAGAGAGAGAGAGTAGTAGGCTTAAACGAAGAAGGCGAGGAAAATGCTGATGTTTACTTCCGGATATATTTGCCCAATCTAAGTGCTGGTCGTGGAATTTCGTTGGAACAACTGAACATAAAATTATCAGGATTGCGTCTTTCTGACGTGTATTCGGAAGCTCAAGACTTTTTTGAAGTCGGAAATTACGATCATGCGGCGTCAGTTTTGTTGGAACACTTTATCCTTGTAACCGAGTGCCACGCGTGGCAGATTTCCTGAATGAGTTTTGGTCTGACAAAGATGAGCACTCAGCGATTGGTAATGAGCTTTTTGAAATGGTGTATGCGTCACTGGGTCAGAGCTCTATATATTCTGAAGAGGATTCGATCTTGTTTTTGCTGACAACTCTCTATCATGTGATTGAGTGTTTGGATGGCTCGGCTACAAAGAAGGAGCTTGGCTTGCGCATGAATTCGTCGGATAAAACATACACGAATGCTATGTATGCAATGAACTTATTGCTGACCCAGCTCACCCAGAGTAAGCTCGAGCATGTCACGAATCCTGACCACAGGTTGCTGCTACGTGGTTTATGCGTAAAATGTTTGCAGCCATCATCATTGTTTCGCTTCGATTCTCCAAATGTTGTTCTATCTATGATAAGCGTTGCGTTGGAAGTGATTGAAGATAGATCATCGGATGCGCGTGATAGTGGTGGTAGTATGCAGCGGGCGATTGGAGTAGATGCCATGGCCCGCTTGTTGTACGCGATAAGGTCCCTCTCAGGTGACGATTTTCGGGGGTCCTGTTCATCAGTACCACACTCAGTTAAGAGAAAGACATTGCTTCGTGATCGCATTCGAGTAGTCGTTGTTGAAGTGTTGCGATTTCTGAATAGGGCCTTCCGAAGTAATGACGAGATTGCTTCGTCGTTTCCACTGCACAAGCGGTCTGCTCTGATGAACTTGTGCATCATGTTGATGGAGGATGAAGAAGAAAAGGTAGCACAGAGTAATAGCAAAACGCCGAAGCAGCTGTTTGGCAATGGAGCCGTTTTATTCTTACAGTTGCATGAGAGTTGGTCACGAGCACATCTGACTACGTTGCCGATGCAATTGGTAGAGCTGATACATCTTCTCCACGGGAGACTTGGACAATATGGCATTTGCGGCCTTACATACTTTTCTGACATTTCTCCCGCCGAAGATTTGCGCAAGAGCTCTTGCTTTCTCGAAACAAGTGCGGTGCTGCTAAGCAAGTTTGTACAAAACGCACATTTTCGAGACGCTGGAGAATATGCGAAGACGTTGAATGGTGACATCAATGGAGAAGATAATGCAAATGCAGATTTGGGTGAAGACGAAATTGATTTTCAAACAGAGTTGTGCCAGTGCTACCGTTGTTTATACGATGTGCAAATTGTGCCCGGATGCGAAGATCACAAGGCAGGGTCTACCTTTGCGTCACTACAAGGCGCTAAGGTACCTATCAAACATGATGACGCCATGCGGCTCCTTCGTTTCGCTGTGCCGGTATTTTTGGCTACAAAGGTGAAAAACAATAGTCAAAAGAGGGAGCGACAGAAGTTACTTTGCGCTGTGCGAGAAGCTCTGTCTGACTCCGGTGTCGCTGCTTTCGTTGCGCAGCCAGTCACTGCACCTCTTTCCTTGCAAGTATACTTAGCCCCGGGAGGCCTGCTACAGGAAGATGCAATGCCACCATTTCCGCTAGATGCCACCAGCTCCATGGCAAGATCACCGGACGAAGTTTGCGTGAGCCATTTGTGGTATCTGCTGGGTGCTAACTACATCCTTGGGCGAGTGAAACGACGAGGAAATCTTGATGAGCTGATGGAATTGGAACAACGCGTGCGCCTGCGGGTGGAATACCTGATCAAAGACGTATTGTGCTACCACCCTGATCGAGTTGACACGTGGGTGCACTTGGGAAAGACAATGAAGGAACTCTATCACGCTGCTACAGACGCAATAGCGGCTATACTCGGACGAAATGTGCGTGTTCAAGCATTTTTATGGTACACAACTACGATACTTGCTTCGGACACAGAGCATCTGCAAGGGCAGCATACTCGAAGTACCCCAGACGTGTACTCATTTCGCAATCTCGTTCTAGAGTGGGGTTTGTTCAAAAAGTTGAAGTTGTGGCAAGAAAGATTGGTCGATGGACCAAAAGCGGGCAGCAAGACTGTAACTCCAGAGGATCGAAACGAGAAGACGGATGCGAACGATGCTGACGACGAGTTTAGTCAAAGCCAGGTTCCTGTTGAAGAGTACGCTACGATGTACATCTTCCAGGTGGTTGAGTTTGCTAGGCGCTGTTTTGACATGGCTGCGCAACTGGCCAACAGGGGTGCTCAGAAACACCAATCAAGACAAATTTGCAAGTGCGGTAATTCTGACAACGATGTTGTGGGTGCGGGAAGCACCTTTGATGAAGCGCTAAGTAGCTTACGAAACATCGTTTTTGAGTGCAACGAAGAATGTGCTTTGCTGCTGTATAGTCTCTTGCAAGAGTTTTCTTTGATCAAGGAGATGAATAATGCGGCTTTTCCGTACGAAGCGTACTCGCGTTTGATTGACAAAACATTGAGCTATTTCCAAGAAGGGTGGAGCCAGTGCAGATCCAATGAAAACGCCCACGACGACCACTTCCGTCTACAATATATGATTGGCAAGACCTTGAAGAAAAGACGCTGGTGCGAGCTCCACCGACAAAAACTTTCTGATCCAGAAGTGCTATCAACAGCAAAAGAAATGGCTGGATATTTCTCTAGAGCAGAGTCTGCTCGTGCAGTAGGAGACAGGGAACACGCTCTTGTCCATGCGTTCCATTCTTTGCAAGCGCTGCGAATCGAGCTCACAATCTGCGACTCGCCGTCAGTGGAGGCGCTCCGCTTGGTTTGCGGTCATTATTATGAAGGAATGGAATCAGAAGATGAAATGGAGGATACTGATGAAGGTGTTGCAGATGATGATTCTTCCCAACCAGGCGATGAGAATAACAGCAGTGAGAAAGAGAGTTTGTGTCGGCTAGCCTGGAAACTGTTAGTCAACAAGCCACTGCGGCCCGTGAGATCACTTGTGCCAGCACTGTAAAGAAAGGTGAAATATTAGCACTGTTGACGGCTGCTGAAGACAACAATGCGATCAGTGACTTGAGTGTCACTCTTGCACGAGGTTGGCTTGCGTTGAATATTATTGAGGCCCTCGAGTCGATTCCAGAAGAGGACCGGTACTTTCATCCCTCGCGCTATAAACTCGCACGGATCATGTATTGGTTGTCGATGTTCTGTCCAGCACTGGAGCAGGGCGAGTACACAGGCGACGGCATCGATGCTCTTCTCGTTGCCATGCAGGCTGATCACTGTAAAGATAAAACAGAGGGCTCTTGTGCTGCGGCTGCACGGGCGCTAAAAGAAATGGCTCCTATTTTCGACAAAAGACGGTCTCAGGTTGTTGCGATTTGGTTTTCGGAGTACATTTCGACCGCGAAGAAATTCGAGGAACTTAACCAGCGCCAGATGAAGTACGACTACTACCGTCTCAAGTACTGGCGCTATTTCATCGTGTTGCTTCAAGAAAATGCAGAGTATGGAAGGTTGAAAGAGGTGGAGATGTGGGTGCTCGCTTGCGAAGAAGATCATGATGTGATTGATATCATGCTCAGTATTGTGCTGAAAGCGCGGGGTCTGGTGCTTCGAATGAGGCTACTAGAGGTGCTGAACCGCGCCGAGGGCGTTGGTATTGACTCCGCAGTCGATGCAATCGGACAAATCCAATCACCTGGTGGGGACCGTTTTGCCAGGGACTTTCTCAAGGAGCTGGCTAAGGCTTACACTTACTACTTGGACTTGTTGAATGCTCAGCTGCGACTGGCACGTGTCATGGACGACTGCGAGTTGTGGCTCGAGAAGGCTCAGCTTTCAATGGTCGCGCTGTTTTTGGTGTGTGTGATGAAGTATCCGTCCGAGATGGTGTTATTGCAAGAAGACGCCGTGATCATGGACCACGAATTTCACGCCAATGTCATCGTGATCAAGCAAGCTCTCGTTCGGCACGAATTGCCTTCTCGGATGTTTGACGCTCAAGGTCAAGAAGCGTGGAAGATGTACTGGACTGCTGTCAATTCATTCTGTGAGAACAAGTGGCCCGAGCGTGTTAGCAAGGGCAAGTCACTAAAAAAGCTGTTGAGGCCAAGGACTGCTGGGGCTGTTGCATCGGTTATTGCCAGCAGCAGCGCTGGTGCATGTCAGTTAAGCTCGACTGGGTCAAGTTCGTAACAAGCTAATTAGAACAATAGGAAAGCTATTTGCGTATATTAATTTAAACATACAATAAACTTATAACGGTTTTGAAAGCTTTGAGAAAATAATAAAAATGCCCCACTTAATAACGTACATAAAAATTTGCCCCAGATAATTTGGAAAGTAAAATAAGCGTTTTATACAATCACGAAATTTAAAAATTGCCTCACGTCCGCCTATACACAAGTTTAATTGGTACACATTAATGTTAATATCTGCATTCCCATCGTATGTGTGGCTGTGCTCGACCCCCGCCCTGAAGGAAAAAGTCGCAAAGAGGTTCCACCGTGGGCGCGCTGCGCCCCTGGCCTCCTATTGTGGGCACGGACGGCACAGGAAGGATGCAAACGCATCTTCGTGTATCAGCTGCAGGCGTAAACGTACTTAATCGGTTCTAATATTTCTGATGCTATTCATTTTGATATGGTTTTGTTATTGTTAGGATAGGTTTTCGGTGGTAAAATCGGTTCTCATGTTATTTTTATTGTAATTAAACATGTCCGTTTTGGGCTACCGCTGCCGATGTCATAGTTATCATTGTTGTCGTTGCTACTGTGGCAATTGTTGGTGCTGGTGTAGCTGTTGTTTGCTGCTGCTGCTGCTACTGCTCCTTTTGCTACCGCTGCTCTTACTACTGCTGTTAATGTTCTTGTTTTACTACTGTTTTGTGTGTTGTTGTTTATACTACAGTTCTGCTGTCATAGTTGCGGGATACAAATTCGCTTCCTACTAGTATGCTGTAGTCACTGAATATTAAATGAACAAATAGACTGTGATGATTAGATACGATTTGTTTAAATATTATCTATTTAATTGAAAGCTTTACTATGGCTGATGGTGACATTTTAGTGTTGTTGTAAATGTTGGTGCTGTTGTAGTTATAAACTCCAAAGACACCACGCTGAGTGGAAAGATCACGAGGTAAAAAAGCAAGTCGGACCTATTACCAATTTGCGTGTTCTTGGTATTTATTACATGTTAAGCCCTACATTAAGCACAGTGACGGTTGATGTGTACCACTAGAACTTGAGTACAAAAGGGCGTAGGGCATTTTGTTTCGGGAATTTTCTTATGAACGCTCACACAATTAACAAAAGGACGCCTTTTAAACCAATTAAACTAACTGTTGGTACATGCACGTAGACGCAACTACTAAACAGACACCTATAAAAAATTAAAACTGTTGTTAGATGTACGCCCTTTGATCAAAAAGTTTCGCTTGTCAGCGCTTGTGTATCTGACAAGAGTCTTGTCGTCATTCACACTGCAATCGGAATCGTTGATTCAAAAATCGGAAGTACCAATCTTCCCCGTCTTATGCAGAACAATACTGGTGAGTAGAAAGGGCGGACAATGCTTCCAGATTTAACGACTAACAATAAAAAAGCCACTAAAAAGTCAAGATAAAGAGAAATTGGAGCCTCAAAGCGATACTATTTTTTTACCGAGGACACAACACCTTGAATTTTGGTCCCATGACGAGCGCTTTTACTTGTTTGACTTCGCGCGGTCGAAAAATCTACTCTACCGAGAGTGGGTGGATAATGGGGCTCGCCATTTATAACCGTTGAGTGTCATTCATCCTTTTTGACTGGATCATATATGTGGAACATACAGTCGCATTTTTCAGCCTCTTAAAGCTTACATTTTTTGATAACACCCGGTGTGGTGTTTGCCATGCCAGCGTGCATTTAATGCTAGCAGCCTCAATTAGATCATGCAACTGTAACGGTATGCCCTTGAGTACGAATATAAGTATTTACGGAGGCACGACAATTCTCGTAGGTATCATAGGTCAATTCTTGTGGGGTTAGCATACACTAAAATGATTCACGATTTTTGTGAACTGCTTCGCGGTTATTTGGAACTCATACTCTCCTAGTAGCAAATCTGAGCCGATAATTGGTCAAGTTTCCCAAAAATAATATTTCATTAGATTTAGAGATTCGATCGAAAGTAGTCTGCGGTTAGTTACATCGACCAAAAAAATCACAATAAACAAGGCGTCCATTTAACAATCGTAGGGTGTGCATTTATCAATTCTCTCAACAAACGTGATTTAAATTGGCCACTTTTATTATTTTCCAATTTTGTAGGATATTTTTATTTTGAAAAAATTAAGGCATTTTTCTGCTTTCATGTTTTAAGGGGCATCTTTTTATTTTCTATCAATATGATTTATTCCTCAACCACTTTAACAAGGCATGTGTCAAGGCACTTGGAGATGCTTGTTAATACAAGATTTTCTTTTGGTGGCTTCCTTATGTGAATTTATGGAACCAAATATTCGCGCTTTCAGCTGAATCATCGATCCATTGCATTTAGGCTCCGCCAAAAGATTCACTTGTCCACCATACGTCTGAATCACTTTATAGAAGTTGTGTAGAGCATAGTTACCGCGAAGTAAACGAAGAAGCAACCCAGTGAAATTCATTCATATCGATACCTTCACGTGTGTCTAATCATCGTAAACTCTTTGTCAGCACGCCTAGGTGATGATGCGCAAGAACTTGTAGAAAGTAGAAGTGGTAATATTATTGGTTTCTGACCGCCAATCGTACCAACCTTACCCTTGCATATCCTAAGAGTGGGCGGCCAAACCATTTTTGCGCGAGCCGAATATACCAAATTCAATACGAAGACGATCAATTGCAATAGTTCTCCCTTAGCGGCATCAATTAGGATCTGGAGGAGCAGGTAACATAGCCCCTACATTCGATCAAGCAGATTAATACTTAAACACTTAAATTCGTTTTATTTTCTTATCTTTTCATCTTTTTTTGTTCCCTTAGCACCAATGGAAGCGCTCAGGTGCATTTAGGTGTGAACGTTTTAGCTTTTCCGTAGAATATGTCTAAATATTTTTCGAGCTGTATCCCGAGGGATTTGCCGTATGCTGAAGGATGGTAAGGAAATCAGATATCTCGAAACACATTTAGAGGAGCATACAATCCTTATGCTGTACCTACTCCATCTACTGCAAAATACCGTTTATGTGGTAAAGTGGCGATCGCTCATTTTATGAGGCAAACTTGGCACTTCACTGGTGCCCAGACGGCCGACCATCGAAGGGGATATTCCGTTTCTGTGTCTTGTATTTTCTTCCTTACCTTTTGTACTCGTCGGTTGGGCAATCTGCACTCTTCATAGTGGACTTGTGTCCAGAGAAAACTTGACCGTGTTGGGAATGGGGTTTGTGATCGCGCGGAAAACTTCACACGATCACGGATATACTTGTAGATTACTTGATACAAGCTTTCCAGATATCAATGAGATCGTCCTGTCTGCTATGTGGATGCTTGATACGTGATCATTCTGACTACTTGAGCCATCTCTCGATCTCGCGCCTTGTCCTTTACGTTTTTGCTGCGTCTAATCGCAATCGGAGGGTGGTGAGTTCTTAAATTCCCGCGTATTGACAAATATCACTTTTTAATTCCAGTATGTGATGCTTTCTTGACGTCGAAAGCCAGTATTTCAGCCCGGAAGTGAAAGACAACAGGTCTACTTAGAAGCAAAAGATTTTCTGCTTAACTTAATCAATCAAAAGCTAGAGCTACAAATGCCTGACTATAATCAAGGATATGCTGCCACAAATAATCTTCATGTGTTTATTTTATCTTTGCATATGTGGTCCAATTCATATTGGTCATCTATCTCCTTTAATGATCGTCGGCCTCTCTGGCCTATCTTCAATTTCTTTGACGAATCGTAGATCTTTCCAGCCGATCGTTGATCTCTTCAACCGGTCGTCAATTTCCTCGATCGTCGATCTTCTTGACCAGTCTTCGATCACTCTTAAGGACCGTGATCCCTGACGGTTTGTCGGTCATCTTCCCGACAATGAATACCTCATGCATTCACAATCTCAACTAAATCTTGGCAACTTGATATTCGATCCCGTTGGAATGCTGTTTGATCGAGGTATTACGGTAACCACTTTCGGTATTTCAATATTAGATTTTAATATCGTTACTTTCGGTCTTGTTATTGCGCAGCACAACAGCCAATCGATCTTTTTAACGGATTGTCGCAGTTTGAGATTCTTCCGACCAACAATCACTTCGAGCTTATATCAGCTTTAGTATGTCATTAAGCGTATTCCCAGTCCAACTAAATGATAAATTTGTTCAATCGTAGGAACCCACCACCGTACTTTACTACAATTGTGTGGCCAAGACGGCGGCTTATAATACGCTGCCCTTTTTCGAATCATTAAACGAGGTTGTTGATGCATAAATTTCGACGCATGAACGCCGTTCGCTCATTCTCTAGTATAGTGAGCACAAATATATAGCATTAATACACACGAGCATCCCCAATCGACATCCAGAATTCGACGAGAAGTACTAGCTCGATGATAGTGGTCATTTCACACAGGCCACGCTGCGACACGGCGGGTACTCCCGTTACGCATCCTGCGACCTCCCACAAGTACTTGATACCGGCACTGTAACAGCAACATAACTTTAATCTTTTCTGACGATATTAAACTACGTCTTCTTATGACGACAACTTGCTCACCACACATTGCGCGCTTCTAGCAGCGATTGGAGGTGATCTATGTTTGATACATCTTTTATCTATTAATATTGAGCAGCGAATCATTGTTATCTACAAAGGGAATACAATTACTTCATCATTATCCATCTTAAAAAAACGGTTGATTTTTGTCATGCTAGACAATATCCCTATTGACACCATTTAGTGTCAATTTCATGTAAAGGGGTAGCCCGTTACATACCCCCCTTAACGATCAAGTACCCGTTAATTAAATAGAATCGATTGGGACAGGGTGACTACCGTTGGATCACTCTAGAAAAGGGAGCACTTGCTGGTCAAATTCCACTCATTTGCCAATCCAACGCATGGTTTTTAAATCCTTGCGAGTTGCTGCTGCAGCAGCAAGAAAGGCGGCTGCACGCATGCGTGCAGCTGGAGACAGTTCTTCGCAAGCCTCAGCAGTAGTTGAATCGTCGCCTGTTGTTGTGAATAGTCCACGTCGTGAGTCAACACATGCGACAATTACACCCGCTGTGTCTGCAGAGGGTGGGGCAAATTGCCAAGCAGATGAGTCTGAGACAGAGATCATCTTTTCTGGCGAGTCGGATGATGCATCCGACTCAAAAGCGACACCACACGCCTCCGGAAAATCCGGGGCGGAAACTTCAAGAGCTAGGTTGACTGGCTTTGGGAAGCGTGATGGTATCATGCTCGAGATCTTCGGACCGAGCGATTGTTCCGACGAAGCCTCTTCTCACGCAAGCCCATCCAACGATAGGATGCGTGGTGATGTTGGTGATTCCCTTAAGCATTACCACGAACGAAGTGACTCGAAAGATCGAGCTGCCACTGGTGTCAGTGCTCATGCTGACACCAATCATGAGGCCAGGGACCGAGATGTCCTGCACCACTCTTCGCAAGTGGAGTTTTCTTAAATGACGGCATCCAAAGATCTGGACCGGTTGGCCGGCATGACCACTGAACGGGATCATATCCCGTCGCTCGACTGTAAAATGATTTGCCCTCTCAACTCCAGTGCGGAAACTATCCGTGATGAGGTAGAATTCTTCACCGATGCGTTCTTCAAACATCGGTGGTACAATGGCAACCGTTATTGTGATGGTAAAGCCTTGGAAAAAGGGATGCAGGAATGGAATGACTTTATCCATAATATCGAGTGCATTGACCGTGAGGCCTGGATCGGTAAACTTGATGCAGCTCGCATCAGGTTTGAAAAGCGTAACCCAGTCAGGGTGCGATACAAGTTGCATTGACTGTCAAAAGAGGCAGGATTATCCTGTCTCTCGTGGGGTGATTCATGTCCAGGTTGCCTGGACAACTCGAATCGTGCCCCTGGGGATGCCTACCTCCCTAATGACCCTCATTGGAGGGGGCGCATCTCTTCTGAGATGACGGAAGGGATTGACACCTTGCAATCCCTGTACTCGCGTTCGAGGAGGTCGCTTTCCGACGGCCCTTCTTCGAACGCAGCGGGTGGGTCTCGTCATACTGCTCGACGAGGCCCAGAACATCAGCGATCAGCTGGGCACGAGGCTCCCAGCTGTCCCAAGTTCATGGATAGCCTCGCCAGCGGACGAGGTAACTCGTCCGGACACCATTCACGTCGCGGTGGTTCAAGATACGCTCCTTCAGAAAGCGTTTACCACTGCCAAAATCCACCAAAAGATGTGGTGGTGGCGGGAACACCTGATCCAGCTCGAGGGTTGGAACAGCTGATGCTCAAGGATTGAACCGTGTGACGGAAGAGTTTCACGATGATCTGCTTCACGAGCGGACTCGGCGTTACGAACTCCATGATCTCGTGAAGGATAATTACAAGTCATTACTGCACGATTGTTCGAATCATCGTGCCGCATTTGCGCTTGCGCAACTTGAGAACGAACGTTCGATCCAATCTCTCTTCGTGACGATCTGACTGCAGCTTGTCAGGACATCGCTCAGCTGCGTGACCAGGTCGCTTCTCTAGCCAACTAGACTGGCTCGTTGAAATGGGACCACTCGAAGGTGGTCTCGGCCCTTGACCGCGGAGGTGTTCTTCGCCTTTCGAAATGGGCTCGTACTGATAGTGCGGGCGAGACGTCCAACGTAAAACGTAGGATGCGTACGCATCTTAAGGGGTAGTTCAATCGTGTATGCGTTTCACATCCGGCGCAACAAACGAAACGGACGATATACCTGGGCATTAATCTACTGCTGCCCACGTTTGTTACTGCGTGTTTCGGTAGATTTACTGTAGACAGTAAAATTAAATCCCCTTCGTTGAATGAAAGAACGTTTGCGCTTTCGTGTTTGTCCGCGTTTCTCTTCTGTTTATCTATTGCATCTACAAAAAGTCTTGAACGAAGCGGACAACCGCTTCGCGAGTCAGCAAAAATTCCTCTGCTGATTCATCTTTGCTAACAGCAGTGCGCTTCGTGTGCACTGCTGAAAGGACGTTGTCTTCACCAGTGAGGGAGTCATCTTCCTTACTGTGGCAGTCGTTGGCGATTCTGAATATACCAGCGTCGTCGTCATCGTCATCATCGATTTCGATCGCATCGACACCGGCATCCATCTAGTCGACACCATTGTCGACGTGTGATGAGCAAGAATTGGATCGGTTTTTGTTCGAGCGAGTCCACCCCCCCCTAAATTAGAGTCACACTCTAAGAAGTCGGGTAAACTTGGATGGCGTAGGCCATTCACGAAAAACGGTGTATGCGAATTCGACTCATGCACCGAGTTGTTGATGTCGAATTCTGCCATCGGCAAGAACTTACTCCAACTCGTATACGAGTAGACATACCCTCGAAGTATCTCTTCGAGGACGCGGTTGACGCGTTCCGTCTGACCATCTATTTTCTGGATGGTCAGACGTCGATATCTTCAAACGTGTTCCAAGTGAACGGAACTCGGATTGCCAGAACTCCGCTGTGAAGCGGGGGTCCCTATCGGACACGAGTTAACGGGGCAACCCATGAAGTCGGAAGATAGTATCGATGAAGACACGTGCACATCCCTGGGCTTTGATTGACTCCGGTACAGCAAAAAGATGTACCATCTTGCTGAATCGATCAACAAACACAAAAATACCAGTATTCTTGTGAGCGTCTTTGGGAAAACCGAAGACGAAGTCCATCGATACGGACTGCCAGCACTCTGCTGGAATCGATAGAGGCTGCAAGGGTGCGCGAGATAATGAACTAGGCTCCACCCGTTGGCAAAATTCGCAAGCGCGAATGTACTTGCGCACAAACTCATACTGGCGGGGCCAGTTGAAGTCACGGTTTACCGTGAGATTTTTCTTTTCCCTACAACGATGCCCAATGGTCGGGGCATCGTGACACTCATTGATGATGCGTGCGTAAATCATCATGAGCGGGAGCGAAGACATGAGGCGTGTCGCCATTGACTGCTGTATAGTACAGCAGTTCATCACGAACCGAATATCTTTCGGTTTAAGAGAGGTATTGAGACGTCAAGCTTTTTAAAGCTTGACTGAATGGATAAGTCACGTAATTCATCAACCGCAGATAAAACACAACGTCCGCATATGCTTTTAACTCGTCTTCGGCAATACTCGACTACTGAACTCTCAATGATAGTGTTGCAACAGTGTGATCACACCTCATTATTGGGTTTAACAGCCAGCTGGAAATCGTACTGACGCGAAAGAGCATCAGCGACGACATATAATCGTCCATATTCATACTCGACGGAGAAGTTGTACTCCGTGAAGAAAGACAGCCACCTCGCCATTCGTTGCGAGAGGTGTGGACTGTTTACGGCCGTGCGTAATGACGCATGGTCGGTATAAACGATGAAGGGCCAATCTCCTAAGAGATATACCCGGAACTTGGCCAGTGCATATTTCATGGCAAGGCGTTTCTTTTTATGTATCGGGTAGTTATGCTCAGCTGCTTGCAGATGACGCGATTGATAACAGACGACGCGCTCAACGCCGTCTGGGTCGTACTGCATTAACGCACAGCCGATTTCAAAATCGCTGACGTCACAGACCACATGAAATGGTCTGTTTTGGTCTGTAATCGCCAACATAGGCAATTGTATCAAGCTTTTCTTGATACCTTTAAAGGAGTGCTGACACTTGCATTCCATGACCACCTCTCGTTCTTCTTAAACAAACAAAAGATATGTACTGTCATGTCGGCGTAATTGCGCGAGTACTTATGCAAGTACGCCGCCAAGCCAAGGAACTTCCGAAGTCCCTTGACGTCGACTGGCACAGGCCAGTCGCTAATCGACTTAATCTTTTCCGGATTAGTGCGTGCGCCGTTTTAACCCACGATGCAGCCAAGAAGCGGTATTTCTCTCGATGCGAAGTTACACTTCTTGAGGTTCGCAAACAACTTATGCTCTCGCATAAGTGTAAGAATCTATCGGACGTGGATTTTTTAAGCCTCCACGTCCGTCTTTCCATTCATAGTCAGGCTATGGACGAAGTAACTCGGTGTGAAATCGCGCACCGATCGCAACAGATTCGTAACACATCTGTTGAACGTTGCAGGGGCGTTAATTAGCCCCTGTAAAATCACTAGCCACTCCCAGTGCATACCACTTGGGGTGCTCACTGCCATGTAAGGGATGTCCCGTTCACGCATGAGGATCTGATAGAATACATCCATCAGTTCCACGAACGAAAATATGATACTTTTTGCCATAACATCAATGCTGACGTCCTTCCCCGGTATCGGTGTTTGAGTCGGTACCGTTGCAGCGCTCAATTTGTTGAACGCGTGCACTATCCTCCACTCTCCTGTGGACTTTCGCACACAGAAGGTCGGAGAGATGTGTGGGGATGTTAATTCCCTCACATGAACAGCCGCCAAGCGATCGGCAAAGAATTTGTCGATCGCTGTTACCTGTTCACGAGGCAGTGGCCACTGCTTCATGACACAGTACTACGAGCCGGGTTTTAGTTCGATCTCATGCCGAAACCCTTGGTCCTTAGGCAGCTCGCATGGCACGGAGTCAGGGAAAACATCTTTGAGTTCAACCAAATCCTTACAAAAACGATTTGTCTTCAAAGAATCCCAAGATTGAGACATGTCGCTCAATCCGGGCCTTCTCATCGAGGACACTCTCGTTCATCGATGAGCTACTGCGAACCCGTTCTTTCTCAGCAAACACTTGTGCCAACCAAACATCGGCGACGTACTCGTCCTCTGTGACGAGTACGAAGGTCGGCTTGATCTTGTCACTATGCAGATATCGCAAGAATCTTTTGGATTCTAGCATTGGCAACTTGATTACCGCCAAAGATGACTTCGGGGGTACAACCAGATCAAGTGTACAAGCGCCTACACTTGATCCGTCACTCACCAAGACTTTCACTGTCTCGGTGACTTCTTTTAAAAACACATCCGCAGGAGGTTGGGGATCCACACCCTCAACATTGCTCTCTCGGGAGTTATCAATCTCAGCAACGCTGGAACTTTTTTCCAATACGTGTGCCGACTGTGGGTTTACTGCCTCAGTCACCTCATTTTCGATCGAATCTCTTTCAGTCGATCGGGCTTGCTCTACGATAGACTCTCTGTTAGTCGATCTCGCTTCAGTGTGTTGTTTATCCTCTACAACCTTAATCTCTCTTCTCGGATGCACCCTTCTTTATGCGCATCCGTGCTCCAGTCCAATCGATCTCTTCAAATAGTGAACCTTCGGCGCAGCCCGTGTCTCTACACAGGTTCCGGAAGCTGGTTCCACAATATAGTGGCCTTCTACACTGCGATCTTGTGCAGTCGTACTAACTACCGTACCACAAGTGAGGCCATCGCACTCACTCGTAGTACATCCAAACACTTGTGGACGCTCTAAGACTTTCGTCAGATGGCCATCTGATGAACAAACGGCAGGCATCTTCACGGATCGATGCTGCCAGCTGACCCATGGCTGGTATTTTCTAAGCCATGGCAGACCGAGGATGCCATCGAATTTGTCATCCAAATCTAGTACGATGAAGTCATCATCGTACTGCTTTCCTTCTAGCGTGTAGTGACTTCCCACTACACGTTTGTTCACTGTTACGGATGCGCCTGTAACAAGGCACACCGTCATCCTCGTTGGAGGGAACTCTCGCTCAACATAGTTGAGTCTACTATCCTCTAGCGACTGTCGTCGATTAAAACTGTTCGACGCCCCAAATTCAAGAAGGGCGCATAGTAGCATTCCACTTGTCACTTCGATCTTCAAAGTTCTGAGGGACTCCTCACCACTTGAGGCAGTAACACGCAGCGACTGCGTGCTGGGAGAAATCTTCGTCAAAAGGCCTTCGAATCCTCCTGACGTTGCTGGATCAGCAGGGAGCTCCGCCCCTACTGACCCTGACGTTTTTTGTGGCGGTCCGACTTGCTGTTGCGGTTAAGCGACATGGTCGGACCCGCGCCTTGACTATTTCTTGGCCAACGGTGAACATCACGTCATGTCTTTGGACGTGATGCGGTGCAGTGCTCGAGAAACTACACTCATGAGTGCAGTGTCCAATCTTCTGACAGCGATGGCATCTTGCCATTCGCTTGTGATACAGAGAGCGAGAGTTCTTGCTCTCGATGTAACAGAGGTCCATCGGTTCGGGACCTCCTGTTTCCTGTCGTCTCGTTGGACGATAGTTGACGAGTTATCCTAAGACTGTATCAGGCTGAAGTCTTCTTGTTCCGCATACGCTATCGCTTTTTTCAGCGTACGGAAGTCCTCTTGGAACGTGTAGGTCTTCACCGGCCCATCTACAAGGCCGTGAATGAACACGTTGATGAGCGTGTGCTCATCAACAGGGTTTAACTTGACGCTACTCGCAAGGTAGCGTAGATGTTGTGCGTAAGCGTGCGCTTCACGCTTTCCTTGCTTGAGCCTCAAGAGTGCAGAGCGTGCTCTGTACTCGGCTCTTGGGGCGGTAATAAAGTGTCTGTTGTCAGCAACGATGTCACTAGTGAGTGAGCGCAAGAAGATTAAGTTTTGTAGGAGAAATTCTTATTTTAACAAGAGTTTTTGAAGATAATACCACAACGGCTATTTTGGAAATAAAGGAACTAAAAATCGAATCATACCATAAGATCCTAATTTTAATAAAATACCTGCTAATAGAACCGAGCCTGCAGTAGGAGCTTACTCCACAAATTTCACTACATTGTCCATAAAAAACACCTTTTCTTTTAATAAACATTGAGGTTTGATTTAAACGACCTGGTGATCTTTTACAGTTTTTATAAAAAAAAATTTTAAGAATGGTTTCTTACTTAGATGCTTTCAGTAATCATCCAAAATAAATCAGCTCAAACGTCTCTTTGAGCCGAGACTTCAAGCTCTCCAACATCTCAAACACGTTTGTGTCTTGAAGCTGAAGTCCTAAGGCCTAAGTCTTGGTTCGCCCTGTCGAATTTGACAGTGCGAAGGTGACTTGCATCTCGTCACCCTCGATGTTACGGACCCTGATGGCGTTGTCTAACTCGAGTAACCATCTCAGAAAGGAATCTTCATCAGTTGCCTTGTACCTTGAGATATCGATCTTCAAGGTATCGGGTCGACGCGTGTACGTCGGCCCGCCTGCAGACTGATGAG